GCGGAATCACCGAGGCTGCCGATGCCGGGAGCCCGGTCCTTTTGGGCTCTTGGCCGGTGAGCGTTTCAGGCTTCCTGCGACGCCCTGGCCCGGTCGGAAAGGGGGCAAGGGAGCAGCTGGAAGCGAGCTGCGGCTGCTGTCAGAGCTATTTCTTCAGCATGCGATGTTTCTGGGGATGGTGCTGCAGGCTGCTTTAGTTGCTCAAAGGTTTAGCATTCCCAGCTTCCAGCAAAATAGCGAATTTTGTCCAAAGCCTTTCTGAACTGCCTCTGTGAAGGGCTCAGTGGAAGGCTGAGACTGCGCTTAAAACAGGCTCCTGAGAAACCTGCAGGTGGAACTCCGAATAAAACTGAAGTGTTTGAGAATGTACTAGGGAAGATATTTAGTCTCTAAACCTTAATACTGGACAAGGAGTTTGGATGTGTTCAGTATCAGAAAGAATGTTTGGAAATAGACTCAAAAGTGGATTAAATCAAATCATATCAAATGTCTAACCAGAAGATAGAAACTTTCTGGAGCAGGATAAATAAGAGACTTCTGTCAAAACATACTGACAAGTATGAATGTTTTGAATCTTTATTTTTTATGTATAGGGTCAAGAAACCTGATCACAGTACATTAAAATCCATCCATACAGTTTTCTAGTACACATAGTTATAATGTTTCTTTATAAAGAGTTTTGGGAGCTGCCTTTTTCTCCATAAAACAGCAAAACAAAATGCTTTATCCCCAAAAACTTATCTTCCTATATTTGGGAGAGATTAAGAAAATAGAAGAATTGATAAGCTCTGTCTCTGGGGGTAGAAATTATTCTCTGGAGCCTTCCAGCCTGCAGAGCTTTTCAAAGGCACACGGTAAACCAGAGAGAGAAGCAGAATTGGTGTTTGCAGCCCAGTGGCATCTTTAGATGAAGGAGAAAATCAACTGGGGAGTTTGGAAAAGTTATTTGAAAGATTGATGCTTGGAGTTGAGAAGCAACTTCATTTGTAGGTCAGTGCTTATAACTCTTAAGAAGATCAGGGTGATACAAATAATGTGTACTTCCAACGCTGCCTTTGTAAAGGCAAGGGGTTTTAACCCTCCAATTCTCCAGCAAACCTTAATGGTGTTGACTGTAGACACTATTTTCATGATATTGAGATGAACTCTTTTTCCTTTAAAGCTTGGTGTTGGGAATTTTGTCATGGCTTTCACCTCCCCCAAAAATGTGTCATTTGGAAGAAGTGGAATTAACATCATAAAAAATGGATGGGCTTTGCTGCTCCTGCACTGCCGTGGTCTGTGGAGGTGACATCCTAGCAAATGGGTACCTGTAAATCCCAAATGGGGATCCCTAGCTCCTCCGTGGGGCTTTCTGAGGAAACTGGTGTGGGTATGAATGGTAACCTTCTTAATGGGTTGACAGAAACCAGGAAGGGAAGTTTTTACTACTTCAGTAGCTGCTGAAGGCCATAGCTACTGTTAATTATCATTAATAAGCAATATTAACATAATCATTTGAGGAAATTCTTCTGACAGAGAAGTAACAGCTGCAAAGACACAAGGGATAAGCCCCATGAAAGTAAAGGCAATTCATTTCTTCTCAGAGTTCATCTTATAAGGATCTAATATTCTTAATGAAGAAAAGAAATAGAGGAGAAAAATCCTTTTCTGATAGGCATTTTAATCAGTAAATTCATTAGGTGGGCTTTTTTGTTTTACTTGTTTTTCAAACTTTGGAGCTTTGATTAAAAGCTGATGAAACCCTTAAGAACTGGGCTATTGAGCTGCCCAGCACAGGGTCTTATCCCCAGCTGCTGTGAGCCTGTGTTGCTTCAGCAGTGCTGGTCTGTAGGGACGATGGCTGGTGCTGGCAGTGGCTTTTACACTGGACAGGCAAGATGTGGAGCACTGAGTTTCTAGCTTAAGCTCTTGAACATGAGTCTGTGAAGAAAAACCTTCACGTCTCAGACCAAGAGAACTTGATAGAAATGCTGCCTCTCTAGTTTTAGGCAGTGACCGAGATGCCTGAGCCAAGGTGAAGGTCTCCATCTCACCTTGATCCCGGTGACAAAGGGACAAACCAGCCCGGGGAGGTGAACCCCAGCCTTGCTGCTGAGGAAGGAGGGTTAAGTCCAGCCCTTGCAACACCTCCTCAGCCAGCAACTGCAGTTATTAAGAGCAGCCTGAGATGTCATTAGGACAGAGTTGGGAGCATCCCTTCCATTCAGAGCTGGGGAGAGGTCACGTTTCATAGCAAAGCAATCAAAAGGCGCTTTTATCTCGTTCCAAAGTGTGGAAAAACCACTAGGTGACCTGCCCTGTATAAATTATGTATTTTAGTTGAGTTTCCCAGTTCAGTTGTTGATTGTCCTGCTGCAAGATGTTTGTTGTGGCTTCCTACAGAATATAGCAAACTGTGTAAATCAAGGAGTCAGGTTTTACAGAATTACAAACCCGTGCAGAGTTTAATTTGTGTCCTGAAGGGAGGGCAAGCCACTGGCTGGACTGCTTGTGAGTGGAGTCGTTAATAGTTAAGCAGGTTGAAAATATTTGTCCTTTGAGAGTAACCTGAGCTCTGCTGCAAGAAGAAGAAAGGGAAAGAAAAAAAATCTCCATGGGATAGTAGCAGGATAAAAATGCCATTTAAATTGAATGTTACCATTAGAAAGTTACACTAACTTTTCACCAGAAAATGTACTCAAAGTGTGTCTTTGCTATGTCTTTTGAAAATACTTGAGATAGCATTTTTATTGAATATGAATAAATTAATTTTGATTCATTAAAATTGACCTGTTAAAAAGCAATAATACCTTGGTTGCCATTTGTTTAAATATGAGGAAGAAGCGTAGTAAGGCTTTAAGAGAGAATTTGAATTTAATGCTGAAGCACCTGTGAAATTCTTGCTGACTCACACCAAATACAGCCACCAATGGTTTAAGTCATATGCAAAGTCCTGCATAATTAATTCTATGGTGACAGCCCTGGTGATTTAAATCAGAAAACAAGCAGTAGCCCTGCAAATCTTTCCACAGCTGCTACAGTGCTTTTCTTCAGGGACTTTCTCCCACATTAGTTGTTCTGGGTCCACTTAATCTTTTGAGTCCTTTGCTTAGATTACCAAAATGACAAATACCCTCTGAAATTAAGTCAGCACTACGGAGTTTTGAACAATAGTAGTTTTTGGTTGTTGCTTGTCTGAGATTAGTATGTATAGTGATTCCAGGCTCGAGTCAAAGTGCTTCATTGCCTGTCCCCGGGAGGGAATTTGGCTGAGATAACTGGTTAACTACAGTTTAAAAAGATGACTTAATGAGGAACTGAGAGGAATCTAAAATGTTCTGCTCAATAAGGAGAGATTTACCTTTACTTTTATGAGAGCTTCAGAAAGCTTCATGCAAGATAAAACATTTTTCTGGTTTTGCTGTTGTGAGTGCTGAATTCATTTCACTTATAGTAGTGTATCTTATTGTTTAAGCATAAGGTATCCTGTGCTGAGAGAAAATATCAACAGTTCAATGCCACATTCTTTCAAGAGAGAGATTACAGAGCCAAATAGCGGAAGATATGTGTGGTTTTATATGTAGGAAATTTGCTTTAAGGCTTCTGTTAGGAGGGTGTTGAGTAAATCTGCTGTTACCCGAGAAGTATGTTTTCTTGAAATCAACAGAAAAAAACTTGCCCTGAACTAGTTGGATGAGGTCTGCATCTCAGCATTTTCATTAGACGACTATTTCTAGATGCTGTGGGTGTGTGAAGCTGCCTTGCCTGCTGGTCTAACTGCCTTTGGTTTCCCCTGCCTCCCTCAATACTTGAAAATAAATAACTGTGGGAGAACTTCAGTTTATAGTCTCTGAGATTTTTCTTTGAGCTGTGCAATGTTGTATTGGATTTAACTAACATATTGAGTAAACCAGTGATTATGGTTGCGGGGTAGAGGAAGGTGGAATTTTGAGAGGTGAATTGAATCTGCTACTTAACAGCTTACTAAAAATACGCTTAGAAATCCCATTTCTCAGGTTGTGAATGTATAAATGTTAAGATTGCAGGATGATAGCATTATGGAAATGGACAATTCCTTAAATTGCTTGTGGAATAAGCATACATCCTTTCTGCATTTCTTTGCATTTAAAAATACTTCTTTTCAACGCCGTGACTCGTACTCTGACCTACTAGTTTATTATTGTATTTTTATTACGTTTAGGCATGTCAGATATTACTATTAAGCTCTTCTGTCAGTGTTGTTGCTATCAAGGAGTTTGGAGCATGAACAGCGTGTGCTGTGTAGAAACTGCCCAGTGCTGTTGACGTGCTTTCTCTTTAAAAGCAACTGTTTAATTTTTTAGCTCATCACTGTAAAAGCGATGTTTACTTGGGGACGGAGTTTTTAAATAAATTATATGTGAGCATATGTGGTGGCTTTTTACACCTAAAAATGAGTTTTATGAACTTAGTTTTGTAAACGTGTTATCTAAGTACTATTTGTTAAAGCTGCTTGCTGCAGACTCTGTCCTGGCAGTTGTTAAAAGCACTTACTAAATGGAACTCCATAACCTAATTCAGTGCGCTTTGCTACCTGTTTCAAAACTGATGAATTTCTTATCTATCAAACTGCAATAAATTCATAAGTAATTTGATGTACTTTCCTCTGAAAATTTTCTAGTGCTAATGTCACTGCAGTTGTACTAGTTGTATTTCCAGTTCTATTGAACATTAGTAAGGAAAGCCTAAAAGGGACAATGATAAAATCATGTTTTAACACTGTATTGTGCACGTCAATGTTGACATTTTCCAAAAAAAAGAAGATTATGCAAGTCCTCTAAGGTTATTATGTGGAATTCTTGTTTGAAAACAGACATCAAAAACTATGAGAGGAAAAAAAATAATTTCCACATTATGTTTTCAGAAGCTTAATATTTGGATTCTCTTATTTTTGGAATTACAATAAAAAGTATGCCTAGAAGAAGGTAGATGGTACAATAAATCTACTTGCTAAGTACTAACCCCTTTTGTATTTTCAGAAAAAAGCCAAAGGCCAGCTCCTGTTTGAACAGATCATGTATCATCTGGACCTTATAGAAAGCGACTACTTCGGATTAAGGTTCATGGATTCTGCACAGGTGGCGGTGAGTAGCAGTGTTTTTCTTTCCTTTTAAAATTATTTTTTATAGCCACAGTCTAAAAGTTAAATGTTAATATTGACAGAATGCTTTAAGAAAGCTGCCTTTTTTGAGATGGATTTTGTGTAGGAGCTCTTGGGGTTTGTTCAAGTGACCCCAAGTTTAATTCCACCTCGAACACTCTAATGTAGTGCAATGTTCTTGTCTTTTACTTTATCTTTCGCTTGTTCCTGTCACGTCTTCTGCTGTCAGTGGGCAGGCTGGTCCTGTAGGACCCCAGAGACTGGTGCATCATGTAGAAATCCTTAATGCTGCTGATGCAAAGGGGAAGGGGCAGAACTAGAGAGTGTGCTCGGCCCTTGCCTGCTCTACAGGGTAGGGACAGTTGTCCTTTGCCAATGCCATCAACTTTCGCATCAGCAAAAGTCACCTTGTTAATGTCTGCTTGGTAAATAATCTTGGCAAGAGGAGTGTACCTTTGATTTGCTCTTCAAATCAGTGGTAATTTAGACTTGCAACTAGAAGTTTTTGGGGTGATGTAGGTGTGATGATGTAGGTGTGTAGGTTTACTTGTCAGTGTTAGGTTAATGATTGAACTTGATGGTCTTAAAAAAGTCTTTTCCAATCTAGGCAATTCCATGATTCTGTGTTTGTGTGTACCAGACAGTCTGAGTAGAGGGTTCTTGCAAGCCTGAGTTTGTTTGTGAAGTTTTTTGTGTGTTTGTAAAAATGTGGCTGCTTTTGAACACAGAAGCAGAGTATTGTTTGTCAGAAGCAACCACAGTTTTTCTGCTTGCAGGCTGTGTAGTTTTATGTAGATGCTGCTTCTGGCCGAGTACTTAATCCTGCCCACAAGGATAGCTGCAAGTGAAGTGAGGCGTTAAACAGAGTGGCCTTTTGTTTCTGTTCTCCATCCCTGTAACTTAAACCTGAATTCATTCTTCCCAACACCCCCAGGTGGGATGAGATCTGAGTTTCATACTCTGTATGTCAATCTTACTTGTTAGATGTATGAGATGTTTTTTTCTGTTTCTAGTCCACTTCAGAGTTATTTCATGGTCAGGATGGCAAAGTGCAAGCACAGACAGTTGCTGCTGAGCTAAACACCTGAGTTGTTTGAGGTCAGCACATAAAAAGGAGAGAATGACATGTTCCTTTACTTCTGTGAGGGTCAATGTCCAGAACAATTTGAAGGTGACTTCTAAAATGTTACAGGATAGTGGTAAAAACTCCGCCAGCTTGAATCTGCGAGAGAAGCTGACAGCTTTGGACGCAGTGTTACCCACCCCAAAGCACACATAACCTGGTGGCTTCTTTTCAGAATTATTGCTATTGAGTTTGGTGATTAGTTTGTAATGATGGAGAACATTGTCTTTGGAGAGGATTATTTGTTTTTAGTGTCTGAAGCACACTTCACAGCTAGCAGCGTTAGCTGCTGCTGGGCAGCAGTTCCCAGCAGTGAAAGTCTTAAACCTCTTGCAGAACGGAGGCATTTAACACTAAGGAGAAAAAAGACCATTACACTAACGGAGGGAACCATGCACACCTCCTACTAAGAGAAATTAGAAAACAGCCCGTTGTGTACCATTTTATGTTTATAAAAGTCATGCTAGCTGTGCTAAGCATGGCAGTCTAGGTTGTTGGGTATTGACAGTGAAAGACTCCATTGCATTTATCTTTTTGCTTCAGGAAAAAAATAATTTGTATGTTTTGGATAACTCAATTTCTGTCATACAGCTTCAGAAGAGTATTTCCATATGCCTCTAGGATCTTGTAAGAGTTCGCAGTGGGTTAGTCATAGCTGGTGAAACTGTCTGTATGGTAAACTTTTCCCCATACTATTCTGTTAGCAAGTAGCATTGTTTCATCTTGAAATGGGGAAATAAGAGTTAATCTTTTCTGCCTGGGCAATGGCTCATAGCTTGCTTTTGTCTAGCAAATTGTTACTTTCAGTCCAGACAGCACCTGATTGAGCATTTGATACTGCACAATCTACCAGGTACAAGCAATTTCAAACTTAGTTTTCTTCCTTCTCTTAACTATGTGTGACTGAAAAGAGGCAGAGTAGAGATAACCATCTGTTTAAACTGGACTTTGATGATACACTCTGTATAACAAAGCAGAAGAGATTGCATTTTGCCAAAAGAGCTGAACACAACAGCCAGAGATAATTGCTTTAAGAAATGAAGAACTGTTAGGATGGCAGACGTTCTTGTGAAGAGGAGCTGGCACATTCTAGCAGAAACCCAATCTACAGCTGGAAACAAAGACAGAGACTAATCAAGTGACTTGTCAAAGATTATTCAGGAGAGCTCTTAAATAAACAGTGTAAGGATCCAGTCCCTTACTGTGGATAGAATTGTCTGTTGCCTCTGAAAGATATAATTTTTCTGCCACCCAATTTAAATCTAAGTATATTGCCTTACTCTAGCTAGTTGCACCTGATGATATAAAAACAGTGGCAAACTAGCAACATGTGGTTAAAAAATTCCCTGCTTGTTTTAACTACATGTGAGTTTTCAGAAGATTCATTTCAAACAGCTGAAGAATAGCTTTTTTTCTCTTTTTTTGAGCTGCTGATTAGTGTGTAGGTGTTTATGATGTACTGGGGAGTGTGGAGGAGAACTCAGTAATTGCTGACACTTTGGATTTTAGGGTTCAAATACTGGCTTCTGTAAGGTAGTTGAAACACTTACTGAAGTGAAAGAATTGTTTTCACCGTGATTTCTGTTTCATTGCTAGTCTGATGGTTAGGAACAGATCCCTCGCCCCAAGGAAGAGGCAGGAGATGGCAAAAGCAGTGATTTGCAAGGTTGTCCGCTGTAAATCGGATTTGGTCTGGCAGTCAAAGGAGCAGGCTATTGTTAATTTGACTAACTTCGATTAAGGCTGACAATGAACAGCACAGCAAGTCCAGGCACACAGAAGCTCAAGATCGCTGTTACCTTGTTGGCTTCTCTAGAGATGCTGGAGAGATGTTTCAAGTAAGGATGTATTGGACAGTTAACATGTGGCAAATTTATAATTCTAACATATAGGTTGCAAGTATCAAACGCTTGCTCTTCCTATTGGAATTGTGCAACATACTGGTTTGTTGTTCTGGCAGTTTTATCTAATGTAGTGCTTAATGCTGAAAATTATTTTTATAACATTGCACGAGGCATGCTTCATTGCACGAGGTATGGGATGACTTTTAGCCTCACTGTCTTACTAAAAAAAAAAATATTTACCCTACCTGCTTGAAATGTTGCTGGATTTGGGGAGTTTTTGTTTTTTTGAGTTTTTTTTTGTCTATTTTGTGTTGGTGTGGTCTTTATTTAAAAAAAATCTGAAGCAGCAAAGTTTTAGTGAGGACTTACAGCACTCTGTGCAGTCTGTTCAATATTGCTTTTTTGTTTAACAAACTTTATCTCTGGATTTCAGCAGTAGACTGTGCTGAGCAAACTTTCATCAAAGTGTAAACTTCTTGCCAGGTCCACTTGAATTCCATTATAATCACTTAGAATAAATCTTAAGTTCCCTGACGTCTGTGTGTGTTCACGCATGTGTCGGTTCATGGTTTTGTTTTGGTTTTTTGGGTTCTCTTGCCCTCCCCCCTTCCCCGTTTGGAGGCAGTTCTGTTTCCCTTGTTCCCATTTTGCTCCCCTGGGCAGCGGTGGTCAGAGCCGAGCAGAGGAACAGACTGTCAGTGCCTGTCGCGGGCCTCTCAGTTACCTTCCCATGGAATGTGGAGGAGATGAGAAAAAACAGGAGGGAGATGAAGCAGGCGTGCACAGCCAGTCCCAGAGCCTAGAAATGGTTCCCTTCGCTATCCCTCTGTCTAAATCACCTGCAAACCTCCAAGTGGGTCGTTTGTCTATTTTTACGATGGAGTTAATAAATTATCTCTTGCAGCCAGCGAGTTTATGGAATAGGAAGAGACATTGTATCATTTTCTTAAATAAACAAAAAAAAAAATTGCTCAGCTCCACTGGTAGTGTAAGCAAAGTTGACACAAGTATTCACTTCATTCTTCCTTAAGCTTCCTGCTTTATTTTAAAACTACATTAGCTAGCTTTCTCGAGCTGCTTCATTTTAATAGGTAATGAGAGCATTTTCAGCTGTGTGCTCAGCAGCAGTAGATGGTTCACTTGTTGTGATCCGCAGCTGATACATCCATCGCTGCATATCCCAGCTCTGTCCCAGGCTGCCTTTGCTTACTCTCTGCAGAAGGCAGGGCTGCTCCAAAGACAGGAATGTGTTCGCACTTGGCATTGCAACCTGAAAATACCGGTTCTTTCTCATGCCCCTGTTGCCTTTCGGTCCGCTGTGGGCCTCGCTCTGAACTTTGTGGCACGTAGTTTAATGAAAGGAGTGTTGCTACGTGTCCGCCTCATCTGTATTAGCTGCAAGGTGACGTTTGGGATTGATGAAACGAGGTGGCGGCGTTACCTGGGCACTGTGACCTGTGCAGGACATGATGTGCTGGGTCACTGGCTCTGGCTGTGGAGTCGATGCGATTAGGTTGAGCCGGGTGCAGTGTTTACTGTTGGACTGAGTCACCTCCCTTTGGAGGAGGGAGCTGTTCACCAGGCGCACCCCTGCCAGTAGGTCTCTACCGCTAGCTGTCCATTAGCTTTCCAGCTTTGTCTTCAGTTGCTGGTATAAACTCTTCAGAGGTGGGAGTATTTGTAGTTCTTATAGAGAGCATGGCATACATATGTGTAGATATTTCTCTCAACATGCAATCTATAGCTTAACTCTTACGTGCTCTTGTATGCAATGTGAGTGAAGCCTTAATTTTGGCTTCATGTCTAGTATGTAGCTTATAATTAGCATTAGTACACCAGGCAGTAACTTCTGTCCTCCTGTATGAGGACTGCTCAAACATCAGATGTGAATAGATTTTGGAGAATTTAGTAGACCTGACCCTTATGTTCTGACATAGACAGCAAAGCTGTTACCACACTTGAGTCATTCTAAAGAAAATTCCTGAAAACCAACCATATTTATTTTGTTGCTCCCCTTCCACCTGAAGTGCATATCATAAACAGCTGAGTGCCAGAGTCTCCAGCTATGATTTATGCCTCTCGGGCACATTGTCACTGGCTGACCTACTAACGTGTGAATTTAAGTGCTTGTTTGGACAGGGTGGAAATTTTGGTAATTAAAGTGGTTTGTCAGTACATATTTTTTAAAGTAGATAATGCTTCCATGAAGATTTGGCTTTAAATAAGGTACTACATGTTTCTGTTGTTCAAAACTGACATTTTTCATTACAAACTTTGAATGAAAGGATCTTTGATGAGCACTGAGAGAGCTGTGAATTGTGAAAGATTTGGGTTAGATTGTTTTAACGAACTACTTATTATTCCATGATGATCTTCTCTAATGAATAGAGGTTTTTTCCTTTTTTTTATTTGTGACATTTCTTTATTGATAATTCAATGAAAATAATTTATTTTTCAGCATTGGTTGGACAACACAAAAAGCATCAAAAAGCAAGTGAAAAGTAAGTGTCCTTCCTGTTTTCTCTTGGAATCTTGTATTGAATGTAGAGGAAGAACAGAGAGTTGAAATGGTTCATGGGGAGGACGGTGTCCTGTGAGGGGTGACAGGACCCAGTGACAAAACCCCGGCATGATGTCTCTGATTGTTTAATGACCTCTTCTCTCTGCAGCTCATATTACTTTAGTTTAATGCCCTTAATTAAACGTATGAGAGGCTCATTAATTATAGTTTAAAAGGGAGTCAAGGCAGCTGAAGATGCTTTAGTGTTATAGACCATTACCTTGACTATAGGGAAACTTCTCTTGGAGCCTCCATCCTTTGGGGCAGTCCTGAATGCCTCAGTCTGATTTTGGTCCACTAAGTCCTTACCTGCTGCACAAGGGTTTAGTGGGGCCTGGTTGTTTCAGTGGCACATGCTTGGGTAAGCTGTGGCATCAGCTGATTTTTGTTTAGGAGCTTCCTTGGTCTCTGCTGTGGGAGGTCTTCAGGGATTTGTGGTGCTGTGTTAAAACAACAGAGGTTTTGGAAGCACCGAGAGAGAGAAAATTCCTCCTGTCAGATGCAAGAATCAGCAGAGCACTGCACATTTTTAAAGAACTGTTAATCCATCCTTTTGCTGAATTAACTCTTTGATGTCTGAAAAAAGATGATTCTTCTGCAGAAGGGTCTGTTAATTCCCCCTTCAAATATGTCTAAATTTCTGTGGAATAAAGGGGTTCAAGTTGTCAGCAGCAGACATTTCCCAGAGCCCAGAGCCCAAGAGTTGCCTGGAGGTTTGGTCCACCGCAGAGCCAAGATGCACAGATTTCTTGGTGATGGATAGAACCCTTAAATATAGGGATTAACCTAGATTCATGTGCTCCTGGCAGAGCACGTCAACTTAATGTGATATGACTGTTGGATTGACTTGTAACATATAAAACTATGTTGTGCCTCTATTTAAGAGTCCTTTCACCCTGATATTTTTCACACATTTCCCAGTCACAGAGGAATTCCTGCCTTAAGACGTTATGGTAGGACAGAGCCAATTTCAGTCAAGTTCAGTGACGTGGTTCTGTGTAGCAAAAAAAGTCTCATCCAGTAACTGTTACCACTGTCTCGAATGAATTCTGCTTTGCAGTTGGCCCACCGTACTGTCTGCATTTTCGTGTAAAGTTTTATTCATCAGAGCCCAACAACCTACGTGAAGAGCTAACAAGGTAAGACAGATTTTGTGTGAGAGAAAGGTACCCAAAGTAGGCCAGGAAAACTATTTTGTGCCATTTATTTAAACAGTTGTGTGATGGTTTGGAGGTGATGTTCCTCAGAGCTGCTGGCTTACGTGGCTTTTTGTAAATGTTTCCAATGTAGCTCTCATGAAATAAATGAGCTCTAATATAGACAGATCTGTTTACTGTATTACTTGATGCACCGTTTTTCATTAGGCAGTTCTGACAACTGACCTGTGTGGCTTCTTCACAATGGACAGAGGCTTTTCCTGAAGAGAACAGACATCATCCTCTTTATTCTTCTTAAGCATCCTTTACCTTCAACTGTATGTGGTCAGCCTGTCTCTTTAGGCACAAAAGCATTGAATTACCAGTTAGAGCTTCTCTTTGGCAAAAATCAATCTGGTTAATGTTTCATCACTTCTATGGTCTTTGCAGAGTAGAGGGAGAAGAGTATTTTGCTACCAAGTTGAGATGTGAATTAGCAGTACTGCATAGGTAGGATTGCAGTATCGAGTGAGCGGCAATTTCTCTCGATTAAAGCATTTCACAGATATGTTCTTAATGCTGCGTTTCGTGTTGGACTGAGACATACTTGGGGTGTTTTGAAAGCGAGCGTGAGCTACCACCTGTAAGTAGTATAGATCTGTTGTAAAAGGCAACTTTCTTTGCCACTTTGTCACCACTGCTAATGATTCGTTTTGGAGAGAAAACAAAGTTGTGGTGTGGTTTTGATAGCTGTACACACTTCATACACTGAGCCACTTGTAAGAGTGTGAAGTGCATTTGTTTGTTGTTCAGGTTTGTATCTTTGGATCTTTGATCTGCACTTAGCCAAATCCCTGTGAGTGCTACTGGGAAGGTTATAGCAGCATTAAATGCACGCACCCTGTGCAGTTTCATGCTTACATGTGTAATGTAATGTTATAATTTGCATTCTTTAACGCTTTCCTGCCCATCTGGGAAGAATGTTTTACCTTCCCATTCATGTTCCTGAATAAACATTTAACTGTCTTCAAAAATAGTAACCACAGACAAAACTCAGACCTATATCTGCATCTACCACTATGAAACATTTTCATCCATCCTGATGGGAGTTCTGCCAGTCAGACCTTGCTATACAGGTTTTAGCAGGGCAGACCTGAAACCCGAGGGCTTTTAAACCCTGTCTGTCTGCTTAGCTAATCCCCCGGAAGAGAGGAAGAGCGAGCCTTTCTTCTGTCTCAAGACAAATGCCTTAAAGAAGCAGTGGGAAGGGGAGCTCTGCTATGGATCATGTGTCCCCCTAGCAGGGCCTTTCCAAGGGTTCCACCTTTTCTTTGTGCACCAGGGCACTCAGCTGGAGCTGCTTTTCAGCTTCCACGGGTGGAGCTTGCTCAGGTTTTCTGCTAACTTCCCATCAGAGGCCACCAGTCAGAGGTCATGGAACACAGCCTCAGCAGGGGAAGTGTGCTGGAACTGTTTGCAAGTGCTCTGTGGCTGATAAGCGCAACTGGTCACACCCGCTATACGCTGTGCTCATTCTTTTAATAGCTAGGGTCAGTACCAAGCAAATTTATTCGCTGTGTAGGAGCCAGTGTTCAAAAGGCTTTGGACAATAAATAGTTTGACAGAGTATTTGTGGGTTTTCGAGGGACCTCTAGGAGAAATGCCCACACCTGTTTCATGTCTGTGTATGTGAGTATGAGGAGACACAGGTACGTGTTGAAATAGAAGCATTGACTTTGCCTGTGTGTATAAGGCTTCTCTTCATCTGTAGTAGAATTCAAGCTGCATACTGTTGTGGGTTCCAGCATTTCAGCTGATGAGATGACTACTTCTCTTGTTAAAGGAAAGCTATCTCCCATAATGGAGCAAGAGAGCTACTCTGTGTGGGCACTGGATAGGAAGGATTGGTGTATTCAGTATTTGTATTCAATATTTGCCCAGTTTCTAAGCAAGAAGAGTATTGAACAAGCGAGGCGGTGAAGGAAAGCTGGCTCTGCAGAGTAAACAAGTTGAAAAGGCTGCAGCCTACTGTGTATTTTTTTTGTCACTGCAGTCAGCTTTCTGGGTTTTAACTAAACAATGTTAGGAACATGTATTTTTGACAGATTTGAAAACATTCTTTTAGGAGATCAGTATGTCGATGGATAATGAAGAAAATGTGAAAGTTGCAAGCTGCTCCTTGCTCATGTAGGATAAAAAGAGAAAAAAATGAGTCTTAATTATGTATTCTTCTTTTTCCATGCGACACTAATTCAGCTTGTTAGCAACTTAGAGTTTTGGATTTACTTTGAAATGTGGGCAGAGCATGCAAACATGACCGGTAAAGCTTTGAAAGATCACAATTGAGTTTCTTCAGTCTTGAAAACGCACGTGAAGAGTAGAAAAATCTTATTTGTCAGGCTCTAACTTCCTTGTATTCACTCAGTGACACATTAGAAGTATTAATTAAAGACTTATTTCTTACTTTTTCCTACAGGTATTTATTTGTGCTGCAACTGAAACTGGATATTCTTAGTGGAAAGTGAGTATTCCTGATAAACAATCACAGCATGTTTCGCTTAAGATTTATTAAACTTCCATTTGGATAATTAGTAAGTTCTGCCCAGTAATGTAATGGAGGATTTTTTTCTCTAAAATATTACTTTTCTATGTGTGAATAGCAGCAGAGGAATGCTTAAATAACATAGTGGTTATCTCTTGTCGATTTGCTGATCCTTTTTCACTTGTCCCAAACATTTGCAGTTTCTCACTGTCAGAGATGAGAGTTGTCTGCTAAGCAGTGTCAGCTGAGGTTTTAACTGTGTGTTTCTCTTACGGCAGACTGGAATGTCCTTTTGACACAGCCGTCCAGTTGGCGGCTTATAACATGCAAGGTGAGTAGGCACGAGCGGGGACAGATGGCATTGCATGAACAGCTTTGTATAGACTCGTACGACCTCTTTTAGCCTGTCTTTTATCCAGAAAATGGGTTCTACCCACATGTTAGTGATCCAGTGGGAAACACAGCTGATTATAATTTTGCTGTGAGTACGTATAAAAAAATTGTCATGAAATCCTAATTCATCAGGAAGCAGATTAAGGAGGTACTGAACATAAACATCTTTACCCTAAACTTGTTTTCTCAAGTGCTTTTATTCAAACCTGTCCCGTTTCACACAAGATACAAGGTCTGCAGTCTTCCTGAATTGCTTTGATGTAGTAACATGGTTTGCACTTTTTTCGTTTACACTTTTTTTTCTCCCATTGTGTAATTTCTGCCGTGTGTTTTTTGTTGTTGTGAAAATCAGGTATAAAATCATTTTGGTTCTGCACTCAATTAAAAAGTCATGTATATAAACTCCGCCAGCTTTTGACTTCAGCTTGTTCGTAGAAACGTGTCAGTGCCCCATGTCTCACGCTTGTACCTGAGCCTTTATAGTTGATCTGTGCTTCTTGATGTTTCGGATCATTCTTCAGCCGAAAGAGGTGACACGCTATAGTTTTTTTTCAGCTATAAAGCACTATGCTTGCGTCACCCAAGACTTCCATTAGTGAGCTGTATTTAACTTTTGATTTCAATTGACACTCCAGCATTGACGGCTGCTCTGAGAGCTGTGGTCTGACCTTCAGTCGCTGTTAAAGGTTGTACCTCACTGATCTTCATGGCCACGGTCTTCTGTTGTTTGGATGAGGGTGTGATGTTAAGAAATCTGAAGTTTCCTGTGGTCTGAGCTGGGGAACTCACAAAGTGAAGAAGGGAATCTTGAAGTTTTAGAAATATCTGCTAGAGCAGGCTTTTGGGGCCTTATTGGAGGATGTAGCTATATGGCCGTATTCAACATTGTTTCTGAGTCTGCAAAACATCCCCGAAACTCTACTGTAAAGCTGTTGTACAGTTTTTTTTTCATGATGAGGAAGTTTGGAGATGTGCCGTGCCTTTGTGCAGCACAATTACTCTCCACAGCATTGATCTTAGCAGTGCTCTGCTGTACTTACTTTGCAGGAGTTGGGTAACAGGACTAAGTCACTGAAATTCTTTTTCTAACAGATATTTTCTAAAACACAGTTTGTTCTTCAGGCAGGAACCACTAGTGGACTCTGATCATGTGTAGGTATAGAGAGCTGGGATTAAACTGGAAAGATACCTGCCTTTTTAACCTACTGGTTTGTATGGAAGGAAAACCGTTAGAGTGCATTTCATACCTGAAAATATTAGCATTGTTGGAGCCTTAAGATACGGGTTCAGGGAATAAGGTTTTGGAAAAACAAAGTGATCTAATTAGGCCATATATCCATCCCTTTTTGTATAGGTCTTGTCTTCCCTCTCTCCACAATGAGGCCTGTAGCAGGGCTTTAATCTTACTGCCTGACAGCTGTGTACTTTTATTTAAATCAGCTGGAATCTAAGCTGGCTTTGACAGCATTCCTTTCAACAGAGGCAGGCGTTTTAGTGGGAGTAAATTATTGTAGAACTACAGACTTCCTCAGTCAGCATTAAAAAAAATGATAAAAGGAGGGGATGAAAAGACTACTATTGTGCTTGTAGTGTTCAGAAATTGAAGAAACGGGTTTTTAGATGGTGTGTAGTTTTTTGTGCCTGTAGAATATTGTGTGTATTCGTTTGACTTTTTTCAGGGAGAACAATTATTGGACTGTATCAGACACCCAAGGTCCAAGTTACAGAACTATTCCTAATTTCTGGATATGAGCTGAACATTAGGAAGCTGCTTGAAGTCGGTGGGAGGAGCAAGTGCTAAGTAACTCTGAAAATCAGTGCATTTTTATAAAGGTTTCTAACTGAGATTCAGCATTTTAGTCATGCATCAGTCTTTAAATGCTGGACTTGTTACCATCTGTGGAAAAAAGAGGATGTGCTTTTGATGCGGCACACCCATGGACCAGTACGTTCCAGTATGCTCCCTAAATAGCATCTCTTATTGCCTCTGTTGAACATGCAGCCCTGGACTGGATGAGCCATTCGACGAACGCAGCAGGGCATTTATTAAGGTCTTAGATGAAAAGGAGAGCAACAAATAACAGCAGCATGATTGTGCACTGACACAGTGATTTTAGCAGGACAGGGGGATTGTAGTCATGAACCCAGAAAGTGATATTTAGAACGGACAAATAGTTACATGGGAAGTGTCAGAACTGGTTTTGCTTTTTACAGATCTCAAGAGAATTTATTTTCATAAGTTAAGGCAAAATTCTGTTGTAACTTTAGTCAGCTGTCAGAGAATTCAGTGATAAAAACATAGAAAATGTTATGCAAAAAAGAAAAAGGTGAGTTTCAAGGATGTTGATAATTTCCATTTATGGGAAGCTTGTTAAGGAATATATCAATAGCACTTTGTAAAAATTAGTGCAAAGATCTTGTGCAGACAACATGACCGTTTTGTTCAGTGCCCATAATTTCTCTGTCAGACAATGTGACACTTCAATTATTGGGAGGACTGGAGGAGAAGGAGAGACACAAAAAGAAATTCAGTATTTATATTAACTGAAGAAGTGTGCTAAAGTTGCTGTTGATATCTACTGTGTTTGTTGGGGACGTTGCTTGACAATGCTGTTCTCTTGTAGCTGAACTTTGATACTATTACCCTGCTTAACACGTCCCGGAACTGGTGTCTGAGTTCAGGTTTGTTCCCACTCAGACTGAAGAGATGGAACTCGCCATTTTTGAGAAGTGGAAGGAATGCAGGTACTAGATCTTCCAGTGTGTGGTAACCAGCTGTTTGCACTGCTTTTTCTGTGAAGAGAATGTATTAAAAAGATGATACTGGCGCTTCTTCTGTGATCTTGTTCAGAAATGTAGTTCTAATATTGTTCTATCTTATTTCGTAAGAGGATGTGTTGTGAAAAATGAAGCTTTTCAAAGATCCAAGTGAAATAATGAGATGCAGGATCTTGAAATGCAGTAACTTCTGCAGCAGCGGTTTCAGGTTAAAACTTAACAAAGGTGACCTTGGAGTTCATGAAAGCTAACAAGTATTTAGGTTTATTCATAAACTTTCAGAAATTTGTTTTCTGCTTTCCTTGTACACCAGTTTTTCCTTTCTGTGCTTTTTCTGGCACCCTGCCTAACAGCAAAACATTTATTTCAGGGGGCAGACACCAGCACAGGCTGAAACTAACTACTTAAACAAAGCTAAGTGGCTGGAAATGTATGGTGTGGACATGCACATAGTCAAGGTATGTTTAACCACAGCACGACGACCTTTGGAAATGGTAATGTTAGCTTTGTCATGCATTTCGACACTGGTTTTGCTTTGAGGGGGGGAAGAGAAAAGGGAATATTGTGCTCATCTAAACTGTGTAACAAGTATCTGGCTTTGCATCGACGTTCAACTTTATAGTGTACATTTCTGGAAGGTGTAACTTTAGTCCAAACACATCTGCTCTGTGTTAAATATGTGATTGGTGTGGCAATATGTACTAGAGTTTGTGTGTAAGCTAAGGCTATGTGAAAATCATAGTAATTAAATTAAAATTGGCCGGGATCCAGCCAGCTACCAGCTGAAAAACTACAAGTAAAAATAGATCTCCTGTGGAGAAGGAAGTGCAGAGAACTGCACAAGGAGGTTTTTATTACACAGGCAAATCAAGAAACTTTAATTTTTCACTTTAGGTAGCCTTATTGAAGGGCTGCAAACTAGAAAAAAAATCTATTCGTAAGATCATTGAAACACAAGAGTTTTGTTGTATAAAATAAGTAGATATGTGTTTAATTGCAACACTGGGCAAATAAGCTACAGTAATCACCTCAGTAATTTGGATAAAGGGTTGAACACCAAAATGAAGGTAATCTTTATTTTGTGGCAATTAGGCAAGAGACGGCAATGATTACAGCTTGGGACTAACACCTACGGGAGTTCTGGTCTTTGAAGGAGACACAAAGATTGGTTTGTTTTTCTGGTAAGCTCTCTGTTTCTTCTGCACAAGCCAAAAAAAATATTTGTTTGGGATATGAGAGCACCGTGAATACTAAGTACCTGCAGAAGTACTCTGTAGCCTTTGAGTTCTTTCATGGTTTCCAGGAATATTCATTTTTTAATATCTTTGTTAGTATGTTAATAGGCTGTACATATGTAACATGCTAGAGGCAAATAAAAGATGAAGTAACTTTGGGATTTTATTTTTTTAATTGTGTGTTTGTTTTTGTATTTTGCACTAGATTGCTTTGAAAACAGAATATGCACCCAGTCAGTGAAACAAAGCCTCTTCAGGCAATGTAGCTGAGTGTTACACCTTACTGTTGAAAAAGAGACGGAAGCAATAGCACTAGTGCAATTTTTGCATGTAATGTCATCTGGACATCATTAAGAAAATGTCTCTTTGTGCCTGGTGAAGGGCAGAAATGTCCCTTTCTGCCTGACAACAAGGACTAATTAAAAATGAGCAAACAAACAAACAACCCCAAACGTCCCACACCCCAACCAGATTTGTATGTAGTCCAGAGATGCAGACCTTCCTTTAGTTTTTTATGAATGTGTACTTATTTATCTCTCAAATACCTGGACAACAGTGCACAGTTTCTAAGAAGCATTCTGATGACATTTTTCAGGGCTTGATATTGCATAAAACAGGCATTTACGGGCTTTTAAGTGCTTTATTCTGTAATTCCCATCCACTCTTTCAAAACTGTGTGCAAAAAGTAAGTTGGAAGATGATTAGGTAAAATTTTGTAAGATGAGTAGTTAGTTTGGATTAGACCAGTCCAATTTTATAAATTTCTCAGAAGAACTCTCACTTGATGGCAGAAGTGTTATCTGTGTGTCTTGTCCCTCCACCATCAATTCTGGGTAGTTTTTTGGTGAGCAGAGAGGGGTAAAAGTGGTTGCATTTTTGTGTCATGTCATGTTCACGTTATTCTCTTTGGCTGGAGTTTTCTAAAGCAGAGTCATCACGGGAATTGATCTGTGAGAGATTTTATAGTGGTTTACAATTCGTTAATAAAGCAGAATTAATTTGGCCTGCTCTTGTGTCTTTCTGACTTCAGTTTTGTGGGCTTGTGGAAAAGTAAGCAAGGAGTATTTGGATGGAGTTTAATTTCAATTCAAGTAACTGTAAGATCCAATAGAATTGTCCACTTAGAAGTTGCTGATGACTTATATTTAAGTTTTCTAAATAAGCGTCTAAATTTTGAAGTGATACATTGCTATTTGCAGTATAATCAAGCCTGACTGCATGAACTTAAAACATCCACAAAATTAGGAGAAATAAATGTTTAACAGAGAGGCCTGGACCAGCAAATCAAACATACCTCTTAGTAAGTCACTAAGAGAGTTAGACATAACCTGCTTTTTCTGTTCATCGTGCAGGCCAAAGATAACAAGGCTTGACTTCAAGAAGAACAAACTCACTCTCGTTGTAGTTGAAGATGACGAACAGGTAGGTAACTATCTCTTCAGTTACGTTGCAGTCTTGGATTATACTGAAAGAGTTTTCATGCTCTTGATCTCTTTATATTTAAGTTTCAAGAGTTAACGTGGATGATTGCAAGATTTTTAGCTTAGGACTTGGAGGTTGAGGGGAAATGAAGGGACTTATGTAAAAAATAAATGGGCTCAATTACGTTTTTTTTCCTCACCCTTTTTTTTAAAAGGGAAATGCCTTGTGAAACTAGTGTAAATCAGGTAATATGGAAACAGTGTGGATTGTGCAAGAAAGTTTAAGAAAAGGCCGTGTACTACATTTAGTGGAATGAATTCTTTAAACAAGTGCCAGAATTGTTCACATGGGAAGGCATTGCTCAAAGCCGAGATAATAAAAGTGTGAGAATTGCTGGTTTGAGGAGATCAGATTTGAAAGTGAGATCATGTTAGCCTCGTTGAGAAGTATCTTCCTCTTATAAAGATGTCTTTATTTTGTACTTCTTCGGAGGTTTGATGTGTTAAGTATATGGGCGCTACCCCTTTTCAGCTTGAGACAATGGAGCAGTTATTCATTTAAGCTTCTGGAAAATTTGATTTTTCTGCCTAAAATCTATTTCAACATACATTTCAGTATTCATAAAAAACCAAATTTTATTTGGCTTGCATTGAATTGTGGCTTTGACTTATTCAAGCCCTTTGTAAATCGTCAGTGTGCTTTCTGTGCTTTAAGGGAAAGGAGCAGGAGCACACTTTTGTCTTTAGACTGGATCATCCCAAAGCCTGCAAACACTTGTGGAAATGTGCAGTGGAACATCATGCCTTCTTCCGACTCCGAGGTCCTGTCCAAAAAAGCTCAAGTCGATCAGGCTTCATTCGGTTAGGATCCCGGTTCCGATACAGGTCAGTGCCATCTGCCATTTAGCAAAGATCTTCTGTCATTTCTTGTGTTTCTTGGGTTAGATGTGGAAATGGGAGAAACTTGCTGTTCGTTCACCAAGAACATCCAGAGCAGTGAAACTTGCAAGCCGAGTGAGTTGTGTTACTGGTTTTATGAAATCGTATGGATTTTCCCCCTGCATTTTCTGATGTATCTTGAGATGATTCTGGTCTGTGCAGAAGGAAGCCAAAGGTTTCTCAAGGTTTACGTTCCTTACACAGCATATGTAGTACATGGTGTTTCATGGATTGCTTCCTCTTGAAAGCCCACCTGTTTTCACTTGGACCACAGATGGATGAATGACTCGTCCGGCTGGGGACAGCACAAGCCTCAGACAGACTGAGCTGCTGACTGTTGGAGCACTTCACAAGCCTCAGATAAGGCCCGTTCCATGTTAGGTGCTGCCGGTGGATGTAGCAGGCTCTGAGTGGCCCGTGGTCGCAGGCCAGCCTGCAGGGTGCTGTCGGTTGCCCCACCAGAGATGGCGAGAGCACAGGGAAGAGAGCGGGGCATGACCCCAGACAGTGTGCCTGTACTTTTGCTTCCATCTCCAGCTACTGTGGCAACATCATCTAGTCTGCTTCAGAAAGGATCCAAGGTACCAAAGGAGTCAGCAGATCACGAGGCTGCTGCTGCCTTGGGGCCAGAGTGGGGCCAGACTTGGGGAAAAAAGGCTTGCCTGGGAAAAAGAGCACCTAGATATTTAGACCTATTATCAGCTCCCTCTGTGACCTTTGGCAGCGTGTCTTAAAGTTATCTTTCTCATAGAATTTTCAGCCTTCCACAAACCACGTGCACTGTGACCACAGATATAGGCAAAGGGCAAATGTGCTTTTTTTGCAGCTTAATGTTTAAGGAATCATTGCTTCAGCCTTTGTCTTAGGAAAATAGAGCAAAGACTAGGATATTCATAAAATTCCTTCCCTTTTTTTGTGAAAGCTCTTCTGACGAATTAAGTTCGTGGGGTTTTTTTTTAGTAGAACTGAGATGATGTTATTAAGCTGTGAAATTAAAATAGAAATATGATGTTCTGATGAGGAGTGTCTGTATTCTGTCATTAAAAATATGTGATTTATTGTTTTTTACTATTACGTGGCATTGTTAGTGGCAAAACAGAGTATCAAACCACCAAGACCAACAAAGCCAGGAGATCAGCATCCTTTGAAAGAAGGCCAAGCAAGAGATACTCAAGACGAACACTGCAAATGAAAGGTAAAAGACCTTCCATTCTGAGGAGTGTAACCCACTGTGAGAACCAAGTAGTTGTATCCTTTAAAGGTTCTGTGTAGGAATTCTTTTGTAGTTGTTTGTCCTCTTAGATTTTTAAAACTAAGTTTTCTTTGACTTTTTTGGGAGACTATATGTGTTTATTAGAAGAAACTTGCATCCAAAGTATGTCATTCAGGCTTGCCTAGCAGGTAAAACACCCATGAGTGTTGCACAATAGGTCTCTGTATGAAGATGGAAAACTTGGATCCAGAAAATCCAAATATATGAATATTTGAAATTCATGAAGCGAGATTGAAATTTTTGTCATTGAGACTTTGTCATTGTTCTTAGGAGAGTTACACTCTTGTCACAACCTGACAGAGTATGATACCTTGTCTCTTACTCCCATCTTTGTACAGATCAAGTGTGACCTCCATGCAGCTTTCAGATACTTGCTTAAATCCAACTCTTTGGTTTGCTCTTCAGATTTATTTTTCCAATTTAGAATTTTATTTTTCAGCTTTTATACATGAAATACATGCAACTTTTGCTCTTTTAATTGCCTGTGTTTACGCAATGCTAGACAATTTTTGCTAATAATATGTTTAATATTTAACCTAACTAGAAATTAACTTTCAATTAACATTTTGTATTTTTGCAGCACATGCTGCTAAACTTGAAGAAACAAGGTAAGATGCAAGTCAATATTTAAATCTCTTCAGTGTTTGTCTCTTGTCACGTGTCTGCAGAAGGAGGTTATAAGATTATTTAAGTGTAGAGTGCGTTAACCTCTTAAATGTGGTTATGCTGTGGGTTTTGTGTTTGTTTGCTTTGCATAAAACCTACTGTTCGAAGCAAAGCTCCTGTGTTGCTGTCACACAGAAGATTTTGCTGGACTTGCTTACTATCAGGCAAAGAGGTTTGCTTGTGAGTAGCTGTGGTTTGTGCTGGATACGAGCTGTGGTTCTGTGTGCTGAGTTATGATGAGGTAAAAGCAGGATGTCGTTCTGAAGTCGGCCTGCCCTGGTTGTGTGACTGGAGTACGGTCAGGTGAAAGTCAGAGACAGAGAAAAGACAGTAAAATAAATATTTGAAATATGTTGATGACTTTATATTCTGTACTATACTTGAATTTATTTTAAAGATACTTCAGTATTTTTCTGTATGTATACTCAATTATTCATGATCAGCATGGAGAGGGAGGCTTTTGTTTCTTTATTTCTATACCCAGATTCCTTCTGCATGTGTGGGTTCCTATTTGCTGTTGCCCTGTAAAGTACTCATTTGAATCTGAGTCATACAGTTTTCATACCTTTCCTTAGGGGAGGAGAGGAGACCAGGCTAAAAAGACTTACCTGATATCGACAGAAGAACTAAGCCACTCAGTTCTGTTTTCTGTTCTTTGCCCTAATAATTTGTGAACTATGCAATGATAAATTTCAACCAAATTTTTTTTAAAGAGTAGATATTTGTGGATCTTAAGCATCATGACAGCCAGGCAGCTGGGTAAGGAATGTCAAAATAACATTTCAAAACAACAGACTTAATGCAGCTGATTGTAGTAGCAGGGTTGGTTCTTGCATAAGACGAGGAGAAGTCGACAAAGTGTGGGGACAAGGCTGCAGTTGCTGTAGTGGAGGCTCTCTGTCTTCATGAGCTTCTGTATTGTCATTTCTTTTTATAAAACAGGAAAGCACCCTTCAAAACTGGGTGTTGTTAAAGTGCTTCAAAATTCTCTGCATGCAGAATGTGACTGTCTGATTAATTAGTACTCTCATCGTGCTGCATTGTCATGCCCTTCTCCGAGTTTCGTGCTGCTTAGGTCATTCTGAGAGTAGGAGGAGAAACTTCATGTGCAGTTTCTGCCTTCTGATAAGGCAGCGGTCTTCTGAGCTGTGCCTGGGTGTGGCCCTGTGACGTTGGTCTCCAGAGCAATCTAGGCCCTTTCTGAAACTCTACACTCAAGTGTTGCTCATTGAAATGCATCATGAAAGATGTATGTCATTCCGTTCTCTCGTGTTAGCTCAGCACAGGGGAGTGTGCTACCCAGGAGGCTTTCCTTAATATTTCTGTTAAATGTGAACTGTTTCTGGTAACCTCCATATTCTTTCAATAGGGAAGTGTGGAATTGGGAAACAGGCAAGAAATGGCTTGTTTGGTCATGACATGATGGTATTTAAGTAAAATAATTTAAAGAGTTGCTGAAGTAGATACAGAAATTGTTGGCTTGCCAGGTTCGATAGATATTGTCCACATCATATATCAAAAGATGGATGGGTTGCAGAAGACTGGATCCATTTTTTAAAAGATCAGAAGTCTGGGAGAAAAGTTTGCTTTGCATGAGATTTTGAGCCTCTCGAAAATATGAAATGTCTCTTGCAGATTCAGAAATGATCAGGAGTAGAGATATGAATCTTATTTAATTTATTAAGTAATTAAATGAGATATGAATCTTAATTTATTAAATATATTAAGTATTTAATAATATAAAATTATTATTAATGCTGTGCTGAGCTGCTGTGTACATAATATTGAATGGCTGCTTTTAAAACTGAAGCAGTAATTCAGTCCATTAGAGGTTGTATGCAGAAGAAACTAATGAGCTTTTCTGGTAAACTGATGTGAAACTTCGAATCAGAAGAGTCCTAGTTTTGGAACAAGCATCATATCTACAGTATGTAGGTGAGATTTCAACAGTGTCACATTTTGTTGGGTCTTTGCCTAAAACTGTATTGATTTTGCTTTGAAAGTTCCCTGCCTTACTGCTCAATCAGGAAGACTTTCTAGCTCAAACTGGTTTAGGAAAGGAAGAGGTAAAAACAGATGAATTACAGAAAAACTACAGCTTGAACAAACAAAAAGAATGCAATACTCTTAATTATCTAGAGTGAGCCAGCTGATGCAAACCATTAAGTTTTGAAGGCTTTTTTGAGAACAGTTAAGTACTTTGGGTAGATCTTTGTTAGACTTTGAGTTTCTTTCTGAAAATGCTTGTATTTCTGCTGGCCAAAAATAGTTTGTTGATCTGATTCTGATTTTAAATTCTTTTTATCTTTCAGTGCTGCAAACAATGCTGTTATCAACCAAACTAATGGATCACAAGTAAGGACTCTTACTGTATTTAAAGACAGTTTTCATGTAGTTCAACAGATTTGAGGATTTTGTTACACATTCTTGAAATCCAGTGATTGACCAATGGAAAAATACAAAGGTTGGCTGCAAAATTGCATGCTAAGAAGTGACTACTAATTTACAAGTGTCGTGGTTTGACCCTGGCCAGCAGCC